GCTCGGCTTTGTCAAGCCGAACCAGCACCTCGGTATTCTTCATGGCAAGGAGGTCGTTCTCTTTATTAGCCACCTCCAGGCTGTCAGAATACTTTCGGGCCCTGGCGTTCCCCATTTCCACCTGCTTCTGCATGGCCATCATCCCGAACAATGTCTGCATAGGTGCACAATAAGAACGGTTAAACCAATAGTCAGAACGGGCGAAGGCAAGACCAAGTAATATAAGAGAATTCATGAGTTAGAAAATAAAAGTCACCTCCATAGCAGATTGGGGAAAGCGACTGAACACGTCCTTCTGGGAAAGGCCCTTTGCCGCCTCAATGTCCTTCGGAGTCCACATGCTCCTGTAGTAGGCCATAGCGGTCTGGCCATCCTTCAGCATGGTCTCGTTCGGTTTCACGAACGTCCCATCCGTTCGAGTGTACCGAGGGGCCCATGGCGGTAAGCTGGGGATAGAAGGGGGGCCTGAAGCAGAAGCAGAGCCACCAGCTGCAGGAGGCCCAGAGTGAGAAGGAGCTCTGATCGCTCGGTGCAAGAGAGTACCCGGCCCAGAGACTCGGGTCCTTCTAATAAGAGGCTCCTCCTCCGGGTCGATTTCACTGTCGGGATGAGGCCTTTTGCCTCGCTCTTTGTCCCGACCGCCCCCCGCAGCAGCAGGAGCTATGGTAGCTGGGGAGGGCGCGTTCTGGTTGGCCGCAGGGGCGCTGGCAGCAGGGTTAGTAGCCACTGCGCTCAGGACAGTGTCAGATATGGTGGCTGAAGAAGAAGCCGACGCTGGAGAGGAGGTCGCCCCAGCAGCAGGAATGACTGGGGGAGTATTTTTCCTCCTGCCAAAAGAGGGAATCTGCAGTCTGCTCATATTGTAGCCGAGTGATGAGAGCGCAAAGAGGTTGTCTGAAGTGAGGAGATCTGAGCAGGAAGGAATATCGTTCAGAACGTATCTCTTCAAGTAGTTACTCCTATCCCTGCAAACACTGTAGCTCAAGTCATCACAAGGTATTCCCAAGGAGCGGCATAAGTAAGTGCAAAAACGAGGAACGCATGTTTCACAGGGGCAGTCGTGTTTATGGGATTTGAATTTTTTATAGGAGGAGACAGAGCAGACACCAAAGGCGCTCGGGATTGGGTAATCCTCTGCAGCTGGCGAAGACCAAGCCCCACTAATACCCACTATGCTATCCCTCCAACCCTTTTCAGATTTTATTGTGTCAGTGCATATGGACATCTTCTCGAACGGGTAGAGGTGGTAGAAGGGCTCGTTAGTACGGATCTTACTGACCTTATAGCACAGAAGGAGGTCTATGAGGTCAAGGTCCAGATTTCTGTCACGCATCAATAAGAGCATAACAGATATGATCCTAAAGAAGTTGGGGTTGACCTGCAGAGGGGATATCCCCAATCTGTTGAAGACGTAACTAAAGAAAGGGTGCAGAGGGAACCTAACAACATTCAGTTGAAGGTTTGTGAATAAGACTTCGCCGGGCAGGAGGCCGGCGCCGGTCGTAATATTAACGTCTTGGGGGCAAACCCTAACTACGATGTTGTCAGGAAGTCTAAGTCTCATACGAAGAACACCCAGATCTACAACCATGGTGGAAGTGCAAGAAGAATCTAAAAGAGGGAAAATGGAAGCCTGCCGAAAGTAAAAAGAACGAAACTAACCTCGGAGGACTGCAAGATCGCTGGGAGAATGACTCTCGAAGGATTTCACCGGAAAAGGCTTAGCACAGTTCTAGAAAGAGGGAGATTTGGCTGATGATGGAGACGGTAAAGGGAAGTGAAGTGGAATTCTAGAGCATTATAAAGGCAAGGGGGCCCGAGGGCCGAAGCGTCGGGAAGGCAAGAAATCCCTCGAACCCCGGAACATTGATTCTGGATCTGACCGTTCGCTCCCCCACGTGGTTATCTCGAGCCGTCAGCGTCATGATGAGACGCCATCAATAATTACCCCTTATTAAATAAGGGGCAATTATGGGGGCAGTTGAGGAGGCCCTGGATGACATGGGCCAGGTCCGACTCGCAAAACACAACCCTCAGTCCGAACAGCTGGGTCAGCCCATAGAAAGACACTGCCATATGGGCCGAGCGGGAGTAAGCCCATCAAGGGTGACCAGGGCTTACTGAGGAATAGGCCCAGGTCCAGCAATTAGTAAATATCTTGTAAATATCTTGTAAATATCTGGTAAGTATCTATAAATAGGAGTTGGAATGAAGAGGAGGGGGATCTTGATTCGGGTTGAGGTGTAAGAATTCTAGAGAGAGAAAGAATAGAAGGAGTTTCTTGCATCTTCAATAACATAATCTACACTTCTCGTGTTGGGAATTTCCTCTTGTACTTTTTCAAAATTTTTTTTTTTTTTTATATATTATTTTAAATTGATTAATCTACACTTCTCACTTATTTATTACAAAAATAAAGATGGATCATTTATGTCCTTTACACTCCGTTTGGAATCAAATTCTTTAGGATTAGGATTTGGAATTGGAAAAAGAAATGAATTAGAATCAAAACGGAATTTTATTTTTGTGTTTGGAATAAATTGAAATTTTAAAAAAGAATTGAAAAGAAAATATAATTTTGTACCATTTTATCCTATAAATATATATGTGTATGTGTGTGTGATATATATCATACGGTAGTGGATGAGAGATTTTTATAGAATTTCACGATGATGGAAATACTGTAATAACAGACAAAAGAATTTTAAGTATAACAAGAATAGTGCAACAATGTTAGAAATAATGCAGTACTAGAGAGAGTTTTAATGAGTGTAAGAAATAATGCAATATCCAGAGACTTTCAACAATAATAGGATAGTAATTTTTTTCTTCAGTTAATACGATGAACAATATTTTATAAAGTGAAGATAATTTTGAACAGAGATAGTTGAAGTGAAAATAAGAGGGCTATTTTGGGTAAGTTCAAAATTTTAGTCTGCTATATCACTTGTTACTCTTTGAATCCTCTCAAATCCGGTTGATTTTTATTGGATGTCTCAACACTATGAAATTTTTATTCGAATCCAATGAAATCCCATTTAGTTTAAAATTTCATTTATTTCAAACAACTGAAATCCTTTTTGAAATTCAAATGGAGCGTGACATTAATGTAAGGGGATGATTTGTTACAAAATACAAAATATTAGATAAATCTACTACAATTTTTGAATTAATACGAAAAACTCCTGTATTTACATTAGACTTTAGTAATTTACCCAAACAAAAAAGATAGGGAGTATAAGAAAGATTATATTTTTATTTTTTTTATACGGTCAGGAACGGACTAGAAAATTGGGTAAGAGGGTAAAAGTGAAAAGTTTTTATAATTTCAGGGACAACACTAAAATTTCATTAGCATATAATTATAATATGGGAATTTCCTAGTAATTAGTGCTAAAAATAAAAATTAAGGGGGTGGGGGCAATTGCTCCTGGAGCCTCTTTAAGTCCGTCCTTGGATGCTGCTGCTGCAGATTAAGGGTACAATAATGCCATCAAGAGCTTAAAATGCTATACAAAAGATTCAATCGTGTGCCTAATTAAACACATTTATAACAATAATAACGGTCATTTTAAATACTAAGTTGTTGTTTAAGCAAGTTAATAATACAAAATAAATAACACATCATGAAAATTATAGTCAATGGATATCTCTTCAACATTTCAAAATGTGATGCAGCATGATTTATAGCCCTCGCATATAAATAAATATGCGTGACATAATATGAAAATTAAAGTGTTATGATTAATCAAAATATACAATAACCACGGTCCCGATTTACCCAATAACTTATCATTGTTAAAAAAATAAAATAACAAACTTGGAGGACACTCAAATATAACTAATTTTATATTTAAACATGGTCTCACACTTGTCAGTCACAAATTTTATTTTTACCGTGAAGTTTTATTTCTAAACGTGATATTTTAAAATTTGCAATTACACTTGTCCAATTTCTAAAAGTTTTAGGGCGAAATAGTAGAAAAGAAAAAGAGGTGAAAAATGTTTTTACCATTTAAAATTTTGAATAGCAGAAAAAGAAAAAGAAAAAGAGAGAGAAGGAAGAGATCGATCTGGCGAGAAAGAGAAAGAGGGAGAGAGTGGCCTTTCTTATGGTCACCATCTCCGTCACATCTGGTAACAACATCAATTCCGCAGAAAATTTCATCTCACAATCTATTATTCTAACATTTTCTACTTTCTCCTCAAATTTCACCAGAAATTAAATAATAAAAATAATACTATTATCATTGTTGTACCTCACCGGATTTTCTTTTTCTTTTTCTTTTTTCAGCTTTCTCATTAATCGGTGGCCCTTCATGTCTGCCGGAGGAAAAGGTAACCTAATTCCTTCTTTTTGATTCCCTTTTCATTTGTTGATTTATTCTTAAATTCAGATTTTTCAATGCGAACATAACTATATATATATAAATAAATAAAATAAATAAAAAGAAAAGGTAAAATTTTATTGATTTTTTAAAATAAAGTATTTAATTTTTTTATATTAAAGTGTCAATTCTACACATGATTTTTTGAATTAAATTTAAATTAAAATAATTATTAAATGAATTGAATTTAAAGGAACATAGTAAAAAAATAAATTACAGATCATTTTTTTTTTTCTTTCCGTAAATCACAGTAAACTTTTGTTTGTATTGGTGAATTGCCATATAAATAATTATTATATGGTGAGGGCTACTTGATATCGATCAATCACTATTTTCAGCATGTACCCAGTGTAAAGTGTTCCGTGGTCTGTTCCCGCTCACTATATATATATATATATATATATATATAAATTTTTTTTTATATAATGCGTTCTAAAAATTATTAATTATTAATTATTAAAATTATTATTACTGTTTTGCATGTAAATTATTATTATTATTATTTTTTTTTGGTGTCAGACCATGTAATAATTTTCATAAAAGACAAAGGAAGGAAGTTTCCCGGAAGTTTCGTCATTTGCTATTATATATAACAGTGTGGATCTTAGTATTGATCACATATATCAATCACTTACTGTGTGGATCTTAGTAGTGATCACTCTTTTGTTCCTACGTTGTAAAGGAAGATCAGCAAGCATGGCTTCATTGACAGAGCCATGGCTACTTGAAAACGGCAACGCAAAGGGGTTGAGCAAGGAGACAAGGCATGGACATGGACACAGCCATGGCCGGACCGCACATAACATGTCCTCGTCCTCGCTGCGTAAGAAGTCTGATTTGTCCCTGGTGTCCAAAGTCCCTTGTGGGCTTGTCAGGAATGTGTTGGCTAATCTTCAGGAGGTCATTCTCGGGACTAAGCTCTCTGTTCTCTTTCCCGCCATTCCTCTAGCCATCTTGGCTCAGTGTTACGGATTTGCAAGTGTGAGTACTCTTTTATTAACCATCAATTGCATCTCATTAGGGTTTTGGATCACAGTGAATTAATCATACATACATACTACTCCGTTCCATAATAATTGTCAATTTGAAAAACTTTGACTCACTATTATTTTTTATTTTTAAATCATTTGATATTATTTTTAATCATATTCCTTTTATATATTTATATATTACCTATATTTTTAGTACTAAAATCTATTTCGATAACTTTGACTCACAGAAATTATGAATCAAAATTTCTAAAATTAATAATTAATATGAGACGAAAGGACTATATGTTCATGTATGAGTCCATACACAAGTGATGGAATTTAATTATTTGGTTATTGAATATTTAAATTTTATATCCACTAATGTAGCAGTGGCTGAATGAAACAGATAAGGCAGAAGTTCATTCTTATCTTTAATTAACAATTTTTTTTTTTTTTTTTTTTTTAACATATTTTAAATTTGAACCAAACCTATTGTGATTGATACGGTGTGTGTGTGTGTGTTGGATTGTGTGATAACTTTTGTCCATTTTCATACCAACTTTGTCAGTTCATGAGTGTACCGTTTCAGTGCCATGCGTAAGAGTCTATTTAGATATGTCCATGCACGTGTTTGTGGACAGCAAGTCGCTTAATAAATCAATTGTTCTTTTGTTCTTTTGTGGACAGCAAGTCGCTTAACACATTTATGATCTTAATTTTGAAACAGCCTTGGGTTTTCGGTTTGAGCTTACTTGGACTTACCCCGCTTGCCGAACGTCTCAGCTTTCTGACAGAGTAAGAAAGTATTATATATATATATATATATTATGTTAATAATTTATTTTATTTTGGGTTCATCTTCCATACAAGCACTAAATGATCTGGTGCTGATATATATATATATATATATATATATATTTAATGTTATTCTTGTGTTTTGTCTCAAAAATTGCAGGCAAATTGCATTCTTCACTGGTCCCACTGGTAATTTCTCTTAAATTTAAGTTTGGATCAAAGAATTCATGAACTTATAATGTGTTGAAGCTTAAGTGATTTCAGCCTAGTCAATTTTCAATGTCATCTTCCAAAGGTTTGTTGTTCGTTTTCGTGATTTCTGAGCTGTTAGCCAACGGAGGTGAAACAAGCCCATAGATAGGCTAAACAGACTGAAATCAAATAGGCGTTACAAGCAAATAGCTTACTAAGAGAGGCCTTAAGATGGAGCTTGGTGGTCTCAAAATAGAAGCAACGATTTTAGGTTTTTAACCCAAGCAGTTTATATAACTTACTGAGTTGATGATAATTTGACCCCATACAGTTTTCCTTTTGAAATTAGTAATATAATATATGCAATCAAAAAGAGTTATGATGTTACGAATGGACCGTTAATCCGACAATATAATTTCTCCTCACTCAAATGAAATGAGGAATTGAAATACAATGGGAGTTACTGTGAAACGTGTGACTGAGCACTGAACTATAAATAAAATAAATAAAATTTAATGATGATACACGTCACCAAATGTTATATGATTGAAACCTCCCCGTGTTAAAGTACCTCAATTAATTATATCATTCACAGATGTCTTGGGTACTGCATAAATGAGAACCACAATCTAGGAGGATCGTGAGCTTTTCTCTTTTCAAAAAGGTGAAGGGAAAGGCCAAAAGAGTAAAACAAAAATGTCTCAATCACATTGTCAAAGTCATATTTGGTCCTTTAAGTGCGGTCATTTCAGTGGATAACAAATCTCGATCAATAATAAAAATATATATATATATGTGAGAAAAATCTTCCTCTCTCTATTATTGAAGAATATTATTTAGTATTTTATATGATCACTTAATTGCAAACATCAAAGACTCAAATAACGACCCTTGTACGGAGTATTTATTTTTATTATTTCTGATGAGCACAACCAATTCCAGGTCCGCATGGTGGTAAAAGGGAGACAGTGGTTCTGAACGGAAAGGGCAAAAAAGTATATATAAATTAGGTGTCATCATCCCTTAATAAATTTAAATTTTTGAGTTGGCCTTTTATACATACATATTACCTAATTATTACGTACTAAGACAGAGCCAGCATGGACTGGGGCATGTGCTCCCAAAGCCCACGCTGACCCATTATTTATTTATTTTTCACATTTACACCTATAATTTATAAAAGTTCACAAAATGCTCACCTAGAATAATTATTTTCTAAAAATCTCTACAATTTTTATGCTTCTTCTATTTATTTTATTTTTTATTCTCATTCACAAAATTTGTATTCCTATTTATTTATTTATTCATTTTCTTATCTGTTTTTCTTTTTCCTTCACTTGTTTTTGTTATTATAATTGAACATTTATAATGAGATTTTTTATTTTTTTTATAAGAATAATCAATATATTGTAAATACCATTTTTTAAACTAATTCAAACACTTTTTTGGTATGAAAATTTTTGCAACAAATTAGTTACTAAACATGCTTTTGTTTTGAAATAAATCACACCACAAAAATAAAAAATTAAAATATTACTGTGTCTACTTCATATGAAATTGAAAATGCAAAATAGGTTGCGAAAATGACCCTTAATGTCGGTATTTTATTTTTCCAATATTTTTTCTTTTTAACAGGATTTTTTTTTTTAATTATTAAATACTATTATTGCACTATCACTACACCTATTTTTCAGGTGGTTGTCTTCTTCACGGTTAGCCAATAAAAAAAATTATTTTATCCTGTTTAATAAGGTGTCCTCCTAAGGAACTCATAATTTCTAAGGAAACTATATGCTCTTCTTTGACTATAACTTAAATTCTTGTGAAACATGATTTATGGATCCAATAAAATTAGTAAATTGACAAAGCTGGCCGGTAATATGGTTTTGCAGTGGGAGGGCTTCTGAATGCAACATGTGGAAATGCACCAGAGCTCATTATAGCAATATTTGCGCTGCTTCAAAACAAAGTGGATGTGGTGAAGTACTCTCTCTTGGGTTCCATTCTTTCCAACCTTCTTTTGGTTCTTGGGACCTCTCTATTGTGTGGTGGCCTTGCCAACCTTACAAATGAACAGAAATATGACAGGGTAATTGAACACTTTGATTCTCACTCCTAATTTGTTTAAATCTGTTTTTAATTTAAGTATGACTAAGAATATTAATGTGTTCTTATTTATAAATTTAACAGAAACAAGCTGATGTCAATTGTGGCCTTTTGTTGCTGGCATTGTTGTGCCACATGCTACCCTTAATGTTCGGATATGCCGGAGAATCTGCTTCGGTGATTGCAAATTCAACACTCGCGTTATCGAGAGTGAGTAGCATTGTGATGCTGATCGCCTATGGTGCTTACCTTGTCTTCCAGTTGGCGACTCACCGACAATTCTTTGAAGCAGAAGAGGTGATATATATATATATATATATTTATATCATCCTTGAGTTTCCTTCTTACTGTATAGATTTAAAACTAGTGAAGCTAGATAATTAATTAAGTTTTTTAATTAAATTAATCGCTGTGTACATGAACAGGAAGATGATGATGTGGTAAATAATGAAGCGCCTGTGATAGGATTTTGGAGTGCATTTGTCTGGCTAGTTGGGATGACTGCGGTCATAGCTTTATTGTCCGAGTATGTTGTAGGCACAATTGAGGTAACTAATTAAACTACTAACCTTTCTCACACAATGTAATGAAAAGTAAAGGGTATGCTCTGTTCAGTTTTATGATAATGAAAAATTAAAAAACTGTTCAAAAACTCTGTTCGGTCCTGAGTGACAAATCAAGTAAGCCCAAAGTGTTCTCATTCCATTTCCTTGGACCATTCAAACAAGTCTAACAAAGCAAGCTTACAAAATATGACTCTTATAAAGTCTTTACCATTCCTTAATTATTAATGTAATCAACTGGATACATACGTCGCTCATTTAACAGGCTGCTTCAGAATCTTGGGGCCTTTCTGTAAGCTTCATCAGCATAATCTTGCTACCAATTGCTGGAAATGCAACCGAACATGCCGGAGCTGTCATATTTGCTTTTAAGAACAAGTTGGTAAGTGTCGCAATGACCTTTACTTCATTTTTTTTTTTTTTTTTTTTTCGGTTCCATCCTTCTAATTTCATTTTCCCCACAAAAATTGAGTATTCTGATTACGTAGTACTTTCGCACATAAATTAATGCAGGATATAACTTTGGGTGTTGCTCTGGGTTCTGCAACGCAAATTTCTATGTTTGTGGTGAGTATACATAAAAGCCAAGCCAAACTGATTGCTTTAACCAATATTTGTAATACTAACATGATTTTTGTTTAACTATGACTTAGGTTCCACTAATCGTGACTATCGCTTGGATTGTTGGTATAAAAATGGATCTTGATTTCAATCTCCTTGAGACCGGTTCTCTTGCCCTGGCCATAATTATCACAGCCTTCACTTTACAGGTAAGATTGTTGTCGATGACATGTCTGCATAGATTTTCCCAAAAGCTCTTAATATGACACACATACATATCTTAATTCCATTCGCTTTGTTCATTGTTCTTCTGTAAATGTAAAATAAGTTTTCTTGCTATCGTCTTGTAGGACGGGACATCTCACTACATGAAAGGTTTTATTCTTCTGCTGTGCTACATTGTAATCGGAGCTTGCTTTTTCGTTTCCAAAACACCACTGAGTAAGTTTAAAATCCAAATCCAACTCCGGTCAACCATTATCAACTCAAATTCTTACTTTAATTAATCTTGAAAATATATATATATTTTTCCAGATGGTGCAAATGACTTGCACTCTGGAGTTAGATCATCAACTGAAGGAATCCTCAGAGTCTGATAAGTAAGTTAATCCTTTGATTCCTTTCAAATGCTATATCTACACAAATATATGTTTATATATAACTTTGAGCTATGTTAATGCAGGCTTTGGGCTGGGTGCTATCAAGCGAGGATCGATGTTCTACAGATTGAATGCATTTGTTATTCTTTCATTTTGGATCGGCCTTTCCTGCGCATTCATCATTCTGCTGTATGTTGCTTTGTTTATAAAGAGTTTCGTACCTTCAAAGCTTGAGATGGATACTATACAGAGTGAGTTGGTACCATTGAAGCTTGTCTGAAGAGTGGCCCGAGTGGGCTACAGCATATATAAATGGTCATATATATGTATAGGTTTGTCTATGTTTTAGTTAATTGGGCTTCATTTCTTCTGGGTGGTGGCAAATGGGATTTTTCCTGTTTTCGAAGTGGAATAATCAATGAATAATAGCTCCTGTTGTTTGATTTTGAAATGAATTACAGTGTTTGTTGTTTTGAAGCAAATGCAAGTGTAGTATTTATTTCATTGGCCACAATCTGCGAATTTAGAAAGAACAAACAGATCAAACTAAATTATACAATTTATACATGTATATATATATATATATAGAGAGAGAGAGAGAGAGACAGGACTGAGGATATATGTATCTGAAACTTTGAAAATACAGAAGAATAAATATATCAGACTGGACTGTACATATCTAGCCATCTAGGTATGTGTGTGTAGAGAGACAGGATGAGGATATCCATATGGAGAGGAATAGGCTGTCCAACTGTTGGAGAAGACGACCGATGATGGGTGAAAGATGCGGTCGATTAGTTTGGTAAAACAACTTACCGAAAGTTTTTCAACAAAGTGAATTTTCGTCATTTGGCGCAAAATGTTTTACAAGAAAAATGATTTACGGATTTTGGATTTTTCCCGAACGCCGGAAAATGTTTTACGGTGAAACAAAAACAACTACTACAAATTATTATTAATTTTTTTTAATTTTATTTTTTTGGATAAAAAAATAAACACTACTCGCTTTTGAGTGCTTTACTTCAGGTACTGGCAAACTCTTGTACTCAATTCAGTAAAAAAAAAAAAAAAAAACAACAACTATAAATCCTGAAATAATTGGAACTTTTGTAGATGACCATATATAAATACTCCAGATATCTAATTAAAGGTTAAAGATAGTGTTGAACTCCCTTCATTAAAATGGTACTAAAGTCAACTTAAAATCAAAATTTAGGTTTCCAATCTATTTTTAATAGAGAAGAAGATTAATTTGGATGTAAAAGTAGTTGACAATAGTGAGTACATAACAAAATGGGTTAATTGCGAAAAGAATCATGTGTTTGCAAGTTGTCCCTAAATTTAAAATTCTTCTCCCAACTATTGCAAAGTTAGTCAAGACCATATAGGAATCCATTACTATATAGGAAATAAACAATGAAATAAGTAATAATTAACTCTTCTATCATTTTCTCCTGATTCTATTCTATGACTTTTATAAGGACGGTAAAACAAATTTAACACATGACTAACTTTACATTTTCATTAAAAACTACATTAATCAGTTTCTTTTCGGTGAATCAATCTATTTATAAAAAGAATAAAACTATACTAACTAATATGGGGGCCATATCTCTTGGGCTACACTAAAAATGGCCATAAGCCCAAAGACAAAAGATAACACACAGGTAGTTACATAGGCCCTCACCAATAGGCCCATGGCCCTATTGAGGTGGGAAAGGGAATGAAATTATTGTGGTGACCCTTCCTTCATTATGTTTTAAGAAGATAGTCTGAGAGAAAAAGAAATGAAGTAATAATTGTTTTATTTTTTTTGAATAGTAGGGGCAAAACAAGAAGTCAGAAAAAGAATGAGCAATAATAATTACACCTTAGAATCATCTTTCCCTCTTTATCCTCTCTCTATCTCTTCCTGGAATCCAAGTACAATCCTAAACAGGTTCGAGATAAATTTTCTTTTATAAATATAAATTATATATAATAAAATATTGAAAAATTATAGTCATAAATTTAAACAGCTTTATTAATCTGAATCTGCAATTTCATGAAAAATAATGAAAATAACAACAAAAGAACAAATAATAAAATATCTTTTTACATCCCTAGATATCCCTTCTCCTCTCGTTTCTGTCTCTCCAATTCGCTAGACATTAGCTTCTTGGGTTTGGGTCTGTTATTTGTACTTTCAACGGTCATAACTCTAAAGAGAGGATAAAACCTCTCTGCAAAACATTTCGCTTTAAACCCTAAACCTAACTTCCAATATAATGTCCTATGCTTTGCAATTACCTGCCCCTACGTTTGTTGTTGAATACTCAACGAAATTAAGGAGAACGAGAGCTCGCAATTTACAGACTCTCTGCTCATCTTCTTCATCTTCTGCTGAGCAATCCAATTCTGGAGAAGGGGAACCAGAAGAAGATTCTGAAAACAGAAGGTACCATTCCCTCTCAAATTCTCTGTTTGCTTGCTTAGAAAATATAGGAAAGTAAGAAAGAAATCAAACTTACAGCACTATCATTATCATTATATATGACCCCAAAAAAACAGAGGGAACTCCAAAAGCCATGGTTCTATATTTCAGCTGAACATACATCTATATAATATATACACACAAGTTATTGGCCGGTATTCGTCCCTGTTAATTGAGGGGGGCATTATTTGCGTGAAGTGGCTGCCTTGCTACAAACCTTTGTTCTAATGCTTAGCTGCCACAAAATCAGTGAAATTTAACTCGGAATGGATTCCCAAACCTGGATTGAATAATATTTGATGATGAATTTCGAATTTTCTGACAAATTTAAAGTCCTTCAGTTTTGGAAATTGGTAAAGTAAAAATGTATTATCTTTTATTTATTTAGCATAGAACTTGTTCAAATAATTTACATATCAGTTTACAATAATGCTAAATTCTTTGATCATTGTGGCACAACTAAATTCATGTTTTCGTGTTATGTGTTACAGAGGTGAAGGTCAGCAGCATGTGATTTTAGTGGAAAGATATGGAAATGGCACTTCAAAGAGGTCTTTATGTGGAATCTCTTCCTTGTTGTGCATTCTTTGCATTAATTAGGTTTCCTAAACATTGTCTGTTTGAGATTTTGAAGGTATTTTTTTGCTTTTGACAGCAAAAATCAAAGCAAATTTGCTCTCAAAAGAAAAATAAATATTTTTGAAACTCTATCTGACCAAAGCAAAATAAATATTTTTGAAACTCTATGTGTCCAGTGCTTGAGCAAACTTCCTAGATTATTTCAGCTTCCATGAGTATCATAATGATATTTGCTGATTTATTTTTTTACTGATTTTCAACATTAGATAGACTTGTGCTAGTTCTCTCTCTCCCTCTCCCCCCCTCCCCCCGAAAAGATAGACTCGTGTTGCTTGAACTACTAGATTTGTATGTTAAGAGAGTTTCATGAAAATGTTCTATTTGCCATTCATGGTTGTCTAGATCATTAGTTGCTTTGTTTGATTTGTGCTGCTGCTGCAAGCCAGGTACATACTTGATGATAAATTGCAATTAAGAACTTCCCTTAAGGAACACGGGTCTGAAACTAATGGATTCCAAGGCTCACATATTTCAGATATTCCTGATATCATCAAAGATTTTATTTTACCTGCGGGCTTCCCAGGTGACAAACATCATCCTTTTCTTTGTTTTTCTTTTTCATTTTTTTTTTCTTTTCTTTTTTATGTTATTGTAGAATAATTTTTGCTGCATGCTACAGACAACTCATAATTTACATAATGAATAATATTTTTTCAGGGGAATTTCCAGTAATGAATAATATTTTTTCCTTGAATAATAATGGAAAATTCAATTAAATGGTTTTTTTAGATCTGGTTTATACTAACATAGATGTAGTAGAATATGGTAGAATGTCGCATATGCCTTCTTGTAATTCAGCCACTAGGCCTACCTGCATCTGGGGATTTATCATGGGTGCTGAGAAATATGTCGTAAAGTTCTCTCTGAGGATTTGATTGTTGAGATAATTTATTTGCTACCATTTTACTGTCTGGTTAAATCCTGGGAAATGCATTTTTCTAAACTCTTTTTGACATACAATGCAGGGTCAGTTTCAGATGATTACCTGGAATACATGTTGTTACAATTTCCAACAAATGTTACTGGATGGATTTGTCATACATTGGTCACAACAAGTCTCTTAAAGGCACGTCAATTTATCTCTGGCCATTAATTCCGCTTGGGTATATGAATGAGGAACCAAGAAACCCTCTACTGTTGCTGAATTGTGAACCAGTCTGAATGTCATCTTATAGTATGTTCTATGTGGAATTCATCCAATATACTTTACAGTTCATCTTGTCTCAACTTTAGTTAGTTCTACGGTAGGGGTTGTTGTTTGGTGCAGTGAAAAAGTTCTGGCCGGTGAGTGTTAGGATGTGGGTTTTGACTCATTTGAGTCTACAAGCAGCCACCTTTTGCAAAATAGATTGGGTCTGTCTCCAATATTCCTCTCCTGACACCTTTCCAAAGATATGGGCAACGTTCTTTATATTAGTTTTGCATTATGTTTTAAGTTTATGAGATGTCATATGTCCACTCCAGTTGTTAGAGAAATTTTGTTTACTTGCTTTATATATTGGCATTCTCAAGTTTCGACTATATTTTGCTTTTCATTGCTAGATTTTGCAGTATGATAATCTATAATGAAATTTATATATTGATGTTTATGGATCCCCATTTTATTTGATATCATTTCATTATGTTTATATAATATTGACGATTTGGGGATTGTAATATGTCCAATTATTCAGAAATGAAGTTTTACGGTTGCAATTTTCAGTTTTTGACATTCAGTTAGTTATCTACTCCTCAGCGAGGCACTTCTTGCCTATAGAGTGCAAGTTTGTTTGTTTGGACTATATGCAGTTTCATGGTTTTCCAATTTGCTGCTGTTAATGTTTCCAAGTGCAGTTTGTTCCTGATAGATTTTTTCACTAACTTTTATGTACTAACAGTGCAGGCTGTTGGTGTGGGCTCTTTCTCTGGAACTACTGCTGCCGCTTCTGCTGCTGCTTCTGCTGCTGCCATCAGGTGAATAAACTTCATTAGACCTATGGATTTTTATATTCTCACTCACTGTTTCATTGCATTTGTTTTTCTATAATGATATTGCGGAGAAAGGATGCGCCAGGGTTTAGATCATAAAAGAAAAAGTCATGATAATATTTTCGTCTTTTCCTTTCTTTTCCTTCTTCAGTCCAGACATGTACATATGCTGTATACTTAAAGGGAAAAGATATCAAGTCTGTTGTATTTCAAAGTAGTTTTTCATTGGATTGAAACATTGGTTAACTAATTGTCCTCCGCAGATGGGTGTCAAAGGATGGCATTGGTGCTGTAGGACGCTTCATCATCGGTCTGGCAATTGTCAATTAAGATAATGGAAAGGACTGTGTTGAATGTTTACAGTAACCATAGCTATCTATTTTAGGTGGGCGATTTGGCAATATTTTTGATGATGACCCAAAACAATGGCGCATGTATGCAGACTTCATTGGCAGTGCAGGAAGGTCCCTGAGATAAGCTTTTTATTTATTTATTTATTTTTAAGATAAGCTATTTGATTTGAAATTAGTTAAACCATTAAATCCTCAATCTATTATGCAGCATCTTTGATCTCTGTACACCATTATATCCTTCCTATTTCCTTCCACTGGCATCACTTGGAAATCTCACCAAGGTATTCTACTTAGAAGCACTTCTTATTATACTTCTTCAACATCATTCCTAATATATATGTTTTTTCTGGGATAACCATGTATATAGTTTTTATCCTTTCATAATCGTTTTTTGACTCATCACCTATTACTATTTTATTTTTGAGTTTGTAATGTCAAAAATTTTAGTATTTCATGCATTTTACTTGATGATATAATTTGAACAGGCTGTGGCAAGGGGACTGAAAGATCCGTCATTTCGTGTGATTCAAAACCATTTTGCAATCTCGGGAAATCTGGGAGAAGTAGCAGCAAAGGTACTTAGGTACATTTTTGTGTTTGTTTCTACTGTACTTCTATAGGTTCATATTATAATTTATCGAACTCACTACTCTGATAAATTAAGACCCAGAAATATTAGCTATTGCATATTTTCAAAACATGTACAGAAGTCTGCAAACTTGATAACTTCATGCTTCGATGGTGTTATGTTACTGAGTCCCCTTGTAGATCCTTGGCTGGTGTTATTGCCATCATTATGTGTTGGAAGGAAGGTTTACTTTTGTTTCTGTAGACATTATATTTGAAACAGATGTTGATGTTGCAGTTGTATGTTTTAGGCTTCATATACCTTTCTTCATGGCAGATAAATGCCACAGGCTCATATCTTTTCGCTTTGGATGACATGGAATTTCAAGGCCAAGAAAAAAAAAATGGAAAGATAGTGTGCTGCTATTTTCTTTTCTTTTTGAAATACATAAGAACAATTACTTGCTTAGATTTTCTCAATCTAACATAAGTTATCATCTTCAATTTGATATGTATACTGATGAGTTTTGATTGATTTCTAACTATGAATGAATGTGTTATCCTTGGAGTTTGCAAAAGAAAACTCAAGCGGCAGGCTACTGTGGAGCTTTTTCTTTGGAACAGGGCCTGCTTAGTTTGTAACTTTGGAAACAGTTGTCTATTTTCAGATAACTGAAAACAGAAAACTGTACAAAAACTTTGCTTGGTTCAGTTTTTTGAAAACTGTTTTTTGAAACTCAGTTATAAAAATGCATGTTTTCAGAGAACTATGAAAACAGTTTTATGTTTTCTGAGTTATTGAAAACTGTTTTCATAGTTACAAACCAAGCAGGCCTACGTAACTTGCATCGTTATGTTTCATATTCTGCCATTGATATAACACCACTTTTCCTTTTTATACATCATTTTGAGCACCTCAGAACGTGATTGTTATATGTGCTTGACGTATTATTTTATCTTGAAATGCTTCACACACGATTATGTAAAGTGCAGTTCCCTTTTTATAAAAACTAATTGATAGTCGCTCCTTGGGTTCTGCTTGTGGGAGTAACACATGCATACACACGCATCCTGCTGCTTGTGGGGATACTATATGAAAGCCTTCCTTGATATGTTCAGATGAATTCTCATACTTTAACGTATTACACTCTGCTAGATTCATGTTCATATTGGTCATAACAAAGTTTTACGCTGGACGACAAGCTACCTAATGCAACCCTCTGCATTTATCCAGGCTTGGGACCGACTGTGTAAAGAAACACAGACGGAGTTTTTGTTGTTGTTGTTGTTGTTCTACTCTGCTTGATCAATGCACGTTTGAGAATTTTGTCACCCACAGTGAAAATTTGACGATAAATTTTCCACCTTGTACAAAATTTATGTGCTCTTCTTCTAAAGGAGCATGCTTTCTCAAACTTATTATGTCAAATGCTTCAGGAGGAAGTTTGGGAAGTAGCTGCTCAACTACTTGGCCTTGCTCTGGGTGTATTGATACTGGTATGTTATGTATTGTGAAAATGGTTCCTGTATTCTCTCCATTGAAACCTCAATTTACTAGCAATCAGATTCTAGGGAAGTATGTAACTTTAGACCATAAATGCAGGCTACACCTGGCATTGTAGCATCATATCCATTGTTAGCATTGACATGGATGACCATGCGGCTAGGGCACCTCTGGTTACGCTATCAATCTCTTTCAGTTCTCCAATTTAACACTGTAAGGCATCTTATATTGCATTCTTTTGTTTTATTATATCCTTTATTTTTTTTAATTTGAAATTATATTGTATTAGAGGGGCACTGATTTATTGATAGAAATAGAGAGGATTGAGTTTTGATGTTCTAAAGTATAATTATTTTCAATCCGCTGGAATTTATTGGCTTCACTTGCACATGCACTGGAGAGAGATAAAAAAATTAGGTGAAGGGTAAGCAGCACCTAGTGCAAATGTTGATTTTTGGGTCAACTGTATTTAACTTTCTACTTTCACAGATAAACCTAACGCGTGCTCGTATGCTGGTAAAATCACATGTTTTAAACTCTACTGTTCCAGGTAAATTTTGCTCTTGGTCCTTGGCTCATTTTAGCTATTCCATTTGATAACAACGACGGTTTTGTTTATTTTCCATTGTTTATTGTGTTTGTATCAGGATGTCTTGATTGCAATAGAATGGAAAATATATTATCATGGCAAAAATTCTTAGTACCACGGATCATTTTTGGTGTGTCATTGGAAGAGATATTTTCTAGGGAGAGATCCATCTCAATGGTATTGCCTTCTCTTCACTGCTTTCATCTATTAAAATTTGATGTGGCTTTCTGAATCTCTCAAGTAGTTCTCTTTGTAGAATTGAAATGGAAAGGTCATTTAATTTGGTCTGGACAATAGCCAGATTAAACTTAAAAGCAATATTCAGGTCACTACTAGAGTCGTCATAGATTTTTCTAATCAAAATATTATATCTTTATACTTTACTTGAACCAAGTACCAGTACGTAATGACATTATAAGAAAAAAATATCACGTTTGTACGAAGTTGTTTTTAAGCCATGTTACTTGTGTATTTGCATTAGATGTAACTTCGGAAAACACCGTAGAGCTTGCTAAGCTTAAACACAGATACACAAATAGAAGTAGTAATGAAATTTCTTATGATAAGTAGATAATCCAAAAACCCTGTTATAGCTCTGTAGGTTTACGTTTGGTCGCGTGATATGGCCATATATGCTGAGTGTTTGGCTACATTTGATGTCCTCCAGATGCTCTTTCCTTCTGAATTCTGACCATGTCTCAAATGTGCTGAACTGATTTCATGTTGCACCTGTTATTGCCCAATGTGAACTTTGAATTTCATGCCGACACGTTCAACAAACAACTCTTTGTATACCTCTTCTTCATGCGACACTTGTGTTAAGTACCAATGATGAATGCATCATATATAAGATGACTTATTGCTGCATATAATGTTGTTACCCACAGAGACAGAGTATATCATATATTTCACATTTTGGGAAACATAATTCAGTCAACAACCTCTTCTAATTTCACCCCCTCCCCTGACATTTTTTGAATGATCACCTGATCTATTAGCATAAGCAAATAGAATTTTCAGGATTTAAGGGCTCATTTTTGGGTTATATCTGGTTTTTCATTGGAATGAAGGTCAGTCATATGATGTAGATGTCAGGCCAACAGGAAATGAACTCTGGATATTTTCTGGTGGTTGGAACAGGTGAAGGGCCTTCTCAGATTATATGCAAAGGAGAAATATGTTCTTGTGGTGAACCAGCAGCAAAAAATGGACTTTGAGGTCTTCGTGTGTTTCAAGGTTTGCTCTTAGAAGTTGTGAGGATTTATGCCTGACTAATATCATTGACTTCTAACTTAAAATTGCTACAGGTAGGAGCTACAAGTGTGTCGGTTTTGCGAAGCGTATGGCAGACTTATTGGCTCCATCATAATTGGCTCAGTAACGCTGATGCCTTTGATCAGCTTCAGAAAAGTTTAATGGAATTGGAAGATGGGTTCCAAAATTTCATGCAACTACTGGAAGGAGCCGGATGGGATACAGATCAAATTAACCTGAAGGTCCCCAGGGAGCTTTCCATTGAGGAAATTGGTACTGTATGATCATGGCCTTATTCAATGTCATGGTTGATATGATCCTATAACGCCCTAAAGTTCCTCTAAAATATGGTCTATCAACCAAGAGAACCACGCAAGTGTTGCATCCTTTGCCGGAATTGGTTGCTGGTCCGGCTGAGGGGATGTGCTGACACACCAGTTCCATCTGTTATTGAAGAGGGAAACCTGTGGTGGTTGGTGGACTGTTTGGTTGCAGGAAGTTCTGACTGGAATCCCTTCACCCAAAGATTGCTGGTGGAGGAAAGGGCTTAGTTCACGTCCATATTACCCATAACATAAGTATTTTTATTTATATTCAAAGATTTGACTTCTGATAGAAGTTCTTTACATTTATTATTATTATTATTATTTTCTAAGTCCCTACCCTTCTTGTTTTATCAAGTTCAATACCATTTGGACATGTAGTATAATTTACAAACGAAAAAGACACTGTTTATGTTTGCTGAAATGTATCATTGCAATGCTGGACTGAACCAAGGACCTCAGCTAAGCTAAACGGTTGTATCATGATGCTCAATTAATTTAAAATTATCCATTTCTTGGAGTCCAAATTGTAAGAAAATTGGACTCTGCCCATCAACCTTTTTCAATTCAAATAAAGGCAGAAGTCAGACGTGTGTGTGGGTTTCTTATAAAGATTGAAAAAAAATTATTTATTTATTGAGTGCATTTCTATACCCTTTTTGATTCAGCCATTGGTTAATGCTTTTGATTTTTTTGGAAGTTCAAAGTAAATGAACGCGCCGTTTACAGTATTTTCTATCAAAACGACGTCATCTAATTGATAGCAGCATAGCCACCAATCCTTGTCCCCATAATTCTGGGCCACTGACTCTTCATTTGCTGTATACAGTGTCAGTTATTAGTCAAATCTCAGACGTCCTCTCGCGGCAAATCCAATACCCGGAACCAGACCATAACAGCAAAACCCTAGTTATGTTCTCTCTTCAGTTCTGTCTCCCTACAACCAATCGCACTCACTTTTTCTCTCCTCAACCAAGACCTCCATCACCTAACTCACTCTATATTTTGAGGACCAGTTCACACCTCCCTCATCCTCTCTGCGCAGTGGCACAGAACGTTATTGTCGAAGAGGACGACGTCGTTTCTGAGAGGGTCGCCGTCGCGGATGCCGGCGCTCGGCCGGCGGTGGGAGAGACTCTGCCGGCGGGCCTTCGGGGGGAGGCGATGCCGAAGCACGTGGCGGTGATTATGGATGGGAACAGGAGGTGGGCCCGGATGAAAGGGCTCTCGGTCGGATCGGGTTACAAAGCGGGTATACGGTCACTGAGAGTGCTCGTGGAGCTCTGTTGCAGATGGGGGATTAGGGTTCTATCTGTTTTTGCATTCTCCTCAGATAACTGGCTTCGACCCAAGGTCAGTATGGACTTTAAAATTATATCCTATACATGTGTGACTGTATAATATATTTAGTTTGTGACTCTTTAAGAAATTTATTATAGCAAAATGATGGTTTATCATAAAAAGAACACTGCATTTTTTGATGGTGTGATAATTCACTCCTTGGTGGGGATGTGTGCGCATCAAAAGGCTTTAGTAGTCATGGTTAATTCCGCATAGAGCTTGTGTTCAACAACCAGATATTAGAAGGACTTGGTTCCATGAGCTTTTGGATTGGAAAGTGAACTAATTTTTTTCTAATGGGAGTGGTCGATTGGCATAGTATAGTTGATTTTCATACTATGGTAAAGATTGTTGAGATTGGTGGGTCAAAATCACCATCCATGGTTCTTTTCCATGGTCATGGTAGATAGTGGTTTATTAGTGATGCTGATTTTGGAGAGACACCAAAATGAAGGAAATGATTGGAGTAGCACAAATTGAAAATAAAATGAGAGAAAATCAGTTAAGATGGTTTGGATATGGGCAAAGAAGATCTTTAAATTTGCCAGTTAGGAAGAGTTAAGCAGTCTAAATTGAGGGCTATGCTAAGGGAAGAGGAAGATTAAAGTTAATGTGGGTAGAGTTAGTAGAAGAATATGGTAGCATGTGATTTGACTGAGGCTATGGCCTTAGATATTTCACGAGAGAGTATGGGACACTCTGTTCCAAGCCATTGTGTGTTGGGATTAGGGAGCGGTATTCTTCCTAAAAATCTCTATTCCTTTCTTAGTTTAGTAACTCAGAGAGAAATTCCAAGGCTCACAGATGTTGAGTTGGACCATCACATTTTGGTCTGGCATGCGATAGTGGAAATGGATTCGGATAGGAAAGCTACAGCTTGTCATTTAACAATGGATTTGGGGTTCTTTATTGAGCTGTGATAGTGATGTTTGGTTTACACCGGGTTATCTCATGTGTGATTAAATACATGAATGGTCTAGTCTATGAGTTGTAATACTGGATTTAATTCTTGCCATGTTGCCTGTGTGCACAGAAACAATGTCAAACCACACAAATACTTGTCCTTTGTGGTTGAGGTTTGTGGCGTATAATTTTTCTTCTCTTTCTTTGGTTGCTCGCTTGCACACGATCTTTGAACTTTTTCTGCATGTCAAATTTTAACATTATTCTTGACATTTTGTGGAAATTTTTATCAGGTGATCTCTCTATTGGTTATTGCAGGTGGAAGTTGATTTTTTGATGAGTTTGTTTGAACAGGGAATAAGGGATGAACTAGACAACTTTGTGAGGTAGGTGTCTGGAAAGCAACTGAATTTATTGGCTGGCTTGATATTTTACTTGAGCATGTGTGTATATGTGTGCTCAACGTTAGTGCATTAGCAGTAGTGTTCAAGCTAATGAGTAGAGTTGAAAGCAGGAAAATTGACTAATTATGGTGCAAATTGAGTTTCACATATCTTGATTGAAAGAAAATTCCATGAATCTTATTGTTGTTTGTTACTACTATCATTGTTGGAACTGTTTTTGTTTCTTTCCTATGTAGATATCTTCATGCATTAGTAATTGGCGGATGACCTCTACGAAAGAAATAAGAAATCCAGTTAATTGATGGTTTTAACAGGGAAGGTGTCCAAATATCTATAATTGGGGATTCCTCTAAGCTACCAGAATCCCTACAACAACTGATTACCAATGCTCGGGAGAGTACAAAGCATAATTCACGACTCCAACTGATTGTAGCAGTCAGCTATAGTGGACAATATGACATTGTGCAAGCTTGCCAAAGCATTGCTTTGAAAGTAAAGGATGGTCTTATTGAACCGGAAGATGTCAATGAGTTTTTAATTGAGCAGGAATTAGAAACAAATTGTACCAAGTTCCCATACCCTGATCTACTGATACGGACTAGTGGTGAGCTCAGAGTTAGCAACTTCTTGTTATGGCAGTTGGCCTACACTGAACTATTCTTTTCCCAATCCCATTGGCCTGATTTTGGAGAAGCAGAGTTGTTAGAAGCCTTACAATCCTTTCAGCAGAGGCAGAGACGTTATGGTAGACAAGTTCTTTAAGTTATTACACATACAGTGCCAGGATTTTCTTGTTGTTGTAAAATGAGAGTACAGAATCTTTTTCAGGATTTTGGGTGCTTTTGGAAGCAGAATTGAAGTATAACCTTTAAGAGGGCACGAATTTAGTAATTAAATTCTGGAGTGACTGTTCAGAGTTCAAGTGAAATCCCACAGCTAGAAGAGTCTATGCAAGTTTGCGTATAAATTGTTGTTGAAGTTATTCCTAATTGAAATAGTAGTACCTGCTTTGGGAGAAGTTAAAACAGCCATTGGAACATTATTGACAATTGGTGATTTGAAAATCATTCAGCGCCAGTAATTGATGAAGAATTCAGGAATTTCGGCCCAAGGATTTTGAAGGATGTTTCATACTGAAAGTGGATGGGCCACCGGAAATTGTTATCGACCAAGCCCTCTTTCTTAAAATAATTGCTGCAGAGGCACCCTACGTAAGAACAGTGACCATTATATTCATTGAACTCTGTTCTTATCTTTGTAAACTGTGAAGTTAATCTGGAACCAATTTGAGACATTGTTAGAAACACTAGGTTGGCAAGAACTTCCATTAATCAAAGTGGAGTGTTCAAAATGTCTAAAGATTCATTTCTTTGTTGCTATTTGGATACAATTTTGTGTACAATGCAATTCTGATCCAGGGGATGACCCCAAACAAGCAAGGATTTGTTATTTTTTGCTATTGCTGATTATTTTATTATAGTCATGATATATATATTTTTTTACATTGATTCAATAGAAGAAAGAATGGTCGTTCCTAGTGGCTAAGATTCTAATACATACGTGCCAAGTTACACAAAAGTGTGTATATGTTATTATATTATCTAAAATTGTCTAGTTATGACTTAATTCCGAACCGAATGAAAATGTTGGCAGGTGCATGACGTTGGTTTCCTTTTCCGCGAGTTGGGCCAAGTTTTACGGGTAATGATTGAAAATCATTACTTCATTTGGATTAGGTCAAAAACAGCCTCTTGTTTAGCTTAAAATTATTGTTAATTAATAATTACTACTCCATATCGATAATCATTGTCTTGGCCTAGAAGTCTAAAGACTAGCTATTCATTTCCTACATTTTTTATCGACGAATGCTTGGTGCGTGAGTGCGCGCGTTCTGGTTCATATTACCTGTAACGGAGAGCTTTTGTGTTTAAAGATTCTTAATTAGACAATAATTATCTGAATAAAAGATAAGTTTGTTCATAACCCACAATAATTATGGGTTATTTTTTTAGGCCGAAATATAATAATGTTTTAAAATTATTTCCATGAAAATGGGGACGCTTCTTGTGTTAAAAATTGGTGTGTAATCTGTGCAAGCAAAAGGTTTCTTCTCACTCTACCAATGCTTACGGACCTTCGTTTGTTTTGTTTTTTTTAATTAATGGATAACGTAAGCTAATTTTTGTAAATAAATTATAATAACAACAATGTTTAAGTTTGATCACTAAATTATAATAATAAGATTGAAATTTAATTTCTCTCCTTGAGAGTTGAGACATTCCTTATGAAATTTTCTTAAACTAATTTGATCCACATGTTGGGGGTCGCACCTGCATCATAGAAATTATTCTCATTCGTGGGTGAGCAACTAACATTCTAACTCCGCATGAAATGAAAAAGAGCAATTAACTCATTTCTCTCTCCTCATCTCTCTAGAAAATTTCCCTTTTGTAAACTTTCTAGCTCAGCTCTCATGTTTCTCACTCTCTACGTGGGATATGAAGCACGCATACACAACGTTGTAGTGTGTGTGTGTGTGTGTGTGTAGTGGAGTGCAATTATATGTAATTAGAAAGCTCGACCTTTAGACATCAATTATATATAGTTAGAGTGCTCTTTGGACAAACATAACCCATCTTAGCTTGGTTAATATAAGAAAAGGCTTCTTCATCTTTGTCCACCTACCACCCAAAATATTATATATATATATATATATAGGGAACTGTTTACCTATTGATTAGTGTGCAGGAGAAATTTATGTACAAATTAAATCTTAACCATTAGAGAAAAAAAAAATTACATTAATAATTGTTTAATATAATCTAACCGTTATTACTTAAAATATGTATATTTTCATACCTATTGGAGAACAAATGAACAATTCTAAAATATATATATATAATAGAAATAGGAGTTCAACATTCAATAAATTTGAACTTATATAATGGAGCTATTTATCAAAATTTATATGATTCATAAAAAAATAAAAATAAAAATAAAAATAAAATTATTGTAATGCAGTAATCGTTTTCAAAACAAAAGGATATGCTTTTTCTTTTCTTTTTCTTTTTTTGGGGTCACAAAAAGCAGGGATTTTATCAAGTACTTGTAGCTGTCGAGTCATTTTCAACATTAAATGACTTGTCATTGTGTCATAATCCAGTTTCATGAACACTATTGACTACTTTACCCATGCCAATATGTCCAAACAATATATTATAATTGAAAGTTGCGACAAACATGGCACAATAAAAATCCAACACTTGGAGATACCTAATTCGTCTTCAAAGTCCTACAAATATGAATGGTTGTTGACAATTTTTATGCATCTAACTATCCAAGGACGTGTTTGCTGTCAATGAATTTTCATCTTAAAATTAGTTTAAAGTTAGAATGTGCAAGTTAAAACCCCTACAAGTGCAAAGCATGTGTGCGCTTTATTTGGTAGAGATATAAAGATTTATGTATTACGTCTTTCAATTTCAAGCACAACATTTATATTGCATAATGCAGTCTATAGTGGTTGAAATATGTTTTCCAATAATAATCAACACTTATAATAGTACAAATCATTATAAAATAGGGTTATCGTAAGGGTAAATCGAACCATAGGGATTTCTAGTTTTTGATAACCAAGGTTGTAAAATCACTTTGTTTGATGAAAGAGGTGTATAAGGTTTGATTTGCTTGTCACTTAGAATTAGGAATTAAAATGTTCATAAAACAGTAAATGGAATTAATTTAAGATGAATTAAACTTACATAGAGAGAGTTAGGGAAATAAATCCACCACAAACCATATAAACATGCTTGCTTACAATTAACTTGGGGAACAACCTATATATGTGACCATGATATGTAAAAATACATGATTACTACCTTAGCTTCAAAAATTTCATAAAATCAAGAATTAAGTATAATCCATCAAAGTTTTACATGATTTCACTACCTAGACTAGGGTGTAGCTTAAGGCATGCGCACTAAGTTATGGACTATCAAATTCCTCAATAAGTATGATGAGAGCACATAAAGTCAAAAACTAAGCATAATCCATCGAAGGTGTTCCTAAGTTATGGACTATCAAAACTTTCATACAACATACCATTAAAAACCATTTCATAATCTCATCTCCATTCTCACTATGAAGATGTGTAATACCCCTAATTTTACAAAGGATCGTCCTGGTATTTAATTATTTGTTTAATTGCAATTTTAATGGTTTAATTGTTTAATTACTTGTTTGCTTGAATTAATTGTTATTATTTGACTTATCTGAATTATTGGATTTATTTGACTTAGTTGTGATTATTTGAATTACTTGAATTAAATTATTTTTTTATTATTATTGTTTTTAATTGAGTTATGTTAATTGGTTTAAGTTTTTAAATGCGTTAATTGGAGTTAGGGTTTTAGGTTTCACGGTGTAGCCGACTTAGTATTGAATTAATTATTTTATCGGTTGCATTCTTGTTTACAATTAGAATCAGGATTGAGTTTTTATAAGCCTATATATATACATGTATAAGTTTTGCCTAGGGTTTTAAACAAAACCCCATTCACGTATACGGAGAGGCAGAGAGCATTAATAAAGAGAGAACCAGTGAGGGTATTGGCCGGAGGTCGGACCAAGGAGGAAGGAAGGAAGTCTATTGTGGTTTGAACCAGAGCAGCGGGAAGGTTGACGGTAGTTGGAAGTCGTCGGAAAATTCAGAAACGATGGTGGAAGGTTTTAAACTAAAACCAAAAGGCAAGTTCTAACCTCACTCTTTCCCTTTTACTCGTGTTCTTTGCATGCCTAAGTAGTTACAGGAACTATTAAACATAAGAATTAATTGGTTATACATGTTCAAAACTTATTAAAGCAGTATGTGTTGAAAACAATCTGTAAGTTGCTAATTTTGTGCTTCACCGTGTTCATTCTTGTTTTAAATTGTTGTTAATCAATGCATAGAGGAGTTGGATAAAACTTTTCTGGTTAAGTCTAAACCTAATTAAAACCATTAGAGACTGTAACAGAGAGGGACGAAATCAACAGAATTCACTGGAGACGAAGCAGGTGAGGAAACGAGTGAGAGTTGAAGAGAGCAAGCTCTCTTTCACAAAGAGATGGCTCCATGGGATCATGGAGCCGGCTCAAAGAGTCTTGGAGGCAGCTCCAAGTGGTTTAGAGCCGGCTCCATCTTGTTTGGAGGGGGCTCCAACTTGTTTGGAACAGGCTCATTCAAGGTTTTTCAGTTTTGGTTGGTTTCTGCGAGTTCTGGGCTACTGGGGTTGGGTTTTTAAAGATCCAGGTTAAAATATGAGTTGATCTGGGGGTGTGCAGTCATGTCTAGAATCTTATTAAAGGGTCAGAAAGTATGGTAATACATAATATACCATAGGATACCAACGTAAAAAACAATAGAAGACTCTGCAGAAAGTTTGTATAATTGGCTTGGTTGCGAATGATTCATGTTGTCTACTTGTAAATTGGTAATTGACTTATGAAATTTATGGTTTAAATCATGTCACAGTGTTATAAAAATAAGCATGCCAGTCGGAATGATTAAGTCTAAACCTAATTAAAACCATTAGAGACTGTAACAGAGAGGGACGAAATCAACAGAATTCACTGGAGACGAAGCAGGTGAGGAAACGAGTGAGAGTTGAAGAGAGCAAGCTCTCTTTCACAAAGAGATGGCTCCATGGGATCATGGAGCCGGCTCAAAGAGTCTTGGAGGCAGCTCCAAGTGGTTTAGAGCCGGCTCCATCTTGTTTGGAGGGGGCTCCAACTTGTTTGGAACAGGCTCATTCAAGGTTTTTCAGTTTTGGTTGGTTTCTGCGAGTTCTGGGCTACTGGGGTTGGGTTTTTAAAGATCCAGGTTAAAATATGAGTTGATCTGGGGGTGTGCAGTCATGTCTAGAATCTTATTAAAGGGTCAGAAAGTATGGTAATACATAATATACCATAGGATACCAACGTAAAAAACAATAGAAGACTCTGCAGAAAGTTTGTATAATTGGCTTGGTTGCGAATGATTCATGTTGTCTACTTGTAAATTGGTAACTGACTTATGAAATTTATGGTTTAAATCATGTCACAGTGTTATAAAAATAAGCATGCCAGTCGGAATGATTCTCTGTTATGCTTAATGGGAACTTAGTTGCTAACTATTCAATATTGTAGTTGTCAACTTTCTGGATATCGTGGAATGGTCTTAAGTGAACATGTTAATTTTGATATTGTTATTATTATGCTCGTAGTAGATCACAGGATAGACAATACCTATTCTCTGTGTTGTAAACTTATTGGAGAAGCATGTATTGGTAGTACAGAACAAGCATGTCATATACATATTCTTATCATACTTGTGATGGATTTTTTGTTATATTTGTTATGGACTAATTGGTATTTACTTTTGTTATTAGTATTATCAACTACTGGATGGTATGGAATGTATGCACCGGTATGGGACGGTGG